CCCAAGGCTCCCGAGTGTGAGTTGTGACCCTAGCCCTAGAGGGTGCCACAACCAGATGGATGGTAACCCTACATAACGCCAACGCACCAGAACTGCAGAATTTCGACCATTTCATGATGGCCCTGCGACGTCGGTTCGAGGACCCACTGGCAGAAAATCCAAAGCACGCGACCGCATTAAGGTGGTGAGGCAGGGCGACAGCCAGTAGCAGAGTATACTGAAGAATTCCAGGACCTCGCGTGTCGTGTGCACTGGCCGGAAGATATTTTGGTGAGCTGTTTCAAGGACGGACTGAGTGATGATCTATACAATGCCTGCGTGGCCCGAGGGGCACCAAATAACCTACATGAATGGTATGTCACCGCTGAAGAAGCTGAGATCGATATGGCCAGAAACCAGTATCGAGCGGGGCGAGCATGGAAGAAATCCTCACCCCAATGGAAGCAGGTGCCCCACAAACCACAAACCGCATTCTCCCCAAGATCTTCAGCCTGTTTCAAGTGTGGAAAAGAAGGGCACAGAGCTGCAGAGTGTCGTTCGCAAACACCCGCCCGGAACCACCCACCAGGGGAGGGTCCCGAAAAACCGGATTGGCGTGGGAAGGAGACTGCTCTGAGGAGCAGGGAGACCATAGAAGTCCCATCCCCTCCCGTCTTTGGGGAAGAAACCCTGGCATCTGAACAGGAGGAATCACACTCTTTCAGAAGCGATCCAGATGATGAGCCACTGGTAAGCAAACCAATTAAACCGCTTACCCTCCCCTTAAGACTATTTATCCCAAACCAGGACAGGGAGATAAGTATCCCCACCCTAGTGGATTCAGGGTGCACCCATTGTTTGATCAGCCCAACCTTAGTAGGGAAGTTAGGGATTAACGTAAGAAAGCTGAAAACCCCCATTGCTTTCTGCCAACTAGATGGGTCAATAGGAGGAGGGGAGCCAGCTTCTCTGGCCACCGTGCCTCTATATATAGGCATCAGAAGCCATGAGGAAAGGCTTACATTTATAGTGGCACCTGGCATGGAATGGCCGTTGGTTCTGGGCCTTGCATGGCTAAAAAAATGGAACCCACAAATCAATTGGAAACAAGGCATCATAAAATTTCAGAGGAAGGTGACTTTTGCTGAGTATCCACATAAAGGACTTGAGGGGGCAGAGAATTGAGAAACAGCCATGCCTGGTCACGCCACACCAACTGAGGGCATACCCGTAGAATACAAGGATTTAGCTGAGGTTTTTAGCGAAAAAGCCTCAGATGAGTTCCTCCCCCACCGCGCCACTGACTGTGCAATAGAAATCTTACCCGGCACGAAACTCCCTAAACCCAAGATGTACAGCATGTCACCGAGGGAGTTGGAAGAGCTGAGAACATCCATTGAGAAAAACCTAGCAAGGGGCTTCATCGAGCCAGCCCAACCAAAAATTGCAGCTCCAGTGCTGTTTAGAGAGAAAAAAGATGGCTCAAAACGCCTATGTGTTGACTTTCGAAACCTCAATACTATCAGTGTGCAGAACATGTATCCTCTCCCCCTTATGAAAGATAGTGTTGTGGCTCCGTTACCTGAGCCTGTGTCATCGGCAGTAGAGGACTCCGAGAGTGAAGAAGAGGAGTTGGCAAGGCCTCCCTCTCCAGGACCCTCCTCTCTGGCAATGCCTTCGGTGTCCGCCGAAGGGCAAGAGATAGGGCCAGGGCCAAGCACGTCCACGCAGCCACAGATGGACAGTGATGAGGGTAATGAGTCTTGGCTGGATCCACGCCAGCGTCGCAGAGATAAGCGCATGCAACAGAAGAAAAGGCGTGCCCGAGATTAGGCTGAGTCACTCGACCACACCCCACAGGATATAAAAGGGAGCGTGGTGGCCAGTCAAACCTTGTGACGAACAAAACTGAAAGCTTCCACGTCATTCTGCATTGCCGGACTTTTGCTATAAGACTTAGCTGGACTATCTCTGGACTTGATTAACTCTGTAATTATTGAGCTGTTTCTTTTGATGTATCAGAAGTGAGAAGTTATCTCTCCTCTTTGTAAATAATAAACTCTTGGCAGGCAGCCACTAGGTTGTTGCCAAGTTCCGTTATCTTAAGGAAAAGGATTTTGCCGGCTGGTTTGGTCTTTAATTCCTGAACGTCTGTTGGTGTGTGTGTGTGTGGTTGGGGACAGAACAGATATGTTAGCACACCTTGCTAAAGGGAATTTTTTTTCAAAGCTGGACTTAAGGGAGGCTTACTACCGTGTCAGAATTAAGAAAGGGGATGAATGGAAAACAGGGCGGAGTCGGGAGATAAATGTTCCAACTCCGACTCCTCAGTTTTTTGTACTTCCGACTCCGACTCCAGGTACCCAAAATTTCCTCCGACTCCGACTCCTCGACTCCGACTCCGACTCCACACTGGTGGAAAACGGCATTTAACACCCCCTTCAGCTGCTACCAATTCAAGGTGCTCCCCTTTGGGTTGCAAGGAGCTCCTGCAGTGTTTATGCAGTTAATAAATGAAGTGCTGCATCAGCATTTATTTAAGGGGGTTCTGGTCTATTTGGACGACATTTTAATCTATACCCAGACCCAAGCAGAACATGTAAAACTAGTCAGGGCAGTTTTAAACAAACTCCGCTCTGCCAAACTTTATGCCAAACTTTCCAAATGTGAATTCCAGCAAGAGAAGATTGACTATTTGGAATACCACATTTCACACCAGGAGGTTGAGATGGATCCTCTAAAAGTGCAGGCTGTACTTGATTGGGACCCTCCACGCACACGTAAACAGTTACAGAGCTTCCTGGGGTTTGCCAACTTTTACCACCAGTTTATCCCTGCGTTCGCTCAGATTGCCCTCCCCATCACCAAGCTCTTAAAAACAAAGGGGGAGGACAACCCTAAACCAAAGCAACCATTGAACTGGACTATGGAATGCCAGGCAGCATTTGAAAAACTTAAATGGCTGTTCCCAGCAGAACCAATTCTACAACATCCGGACATGGAGAAACCATTTGTCATACAAGCAGATGCCAGCGATGTGGCAATAGGAGCGGTCCTGCTTCAGAAGAATGAGCAAGACCAACTACAACCCTGCGCTTACACATCCAAAAAGTTGAATGAGACTGAGCAAAGGTGGCTATTTGGGAGAAAGAGGCGTATGCAGTTCGTTGGGCATTGTTAACCTGGCGGCACTTCCTAGAAGGCAGAAAGTCCCCTTTTAAAGTCTGTACTGATCATAAAAATCTAGAAGCCCTAAAGACCCCAAGAAAACTCTCCCCAAAACAAGTACGATGGGCTCAGTACTTTAAACGATTTGATTTTACTCTAAAATACCTCCCGGGGGGGGGAACTTTCTGGCGGATGCGCTATCCAGAAAACCGCAATACATTAGTGCAAAGTCAGACGTAATCAAAACCTATAGTACAAAACAATCAACTAGCCGCTAAAGTAGTCACCAGATCCCAGGAAAAACAAGAAACAGTGACGGACAATGACATCACCCAAAATTTTAAACAAGCATTGGCCACTGATGAATGGTTTTTGAACAACAAATCCAGCTGTCTGATGAAAGAAGACTTGGCTTGGGTGGGGGGGGGGGAAGTTGTATGTCCCTGCAAGCCAAAGACTATGCTTAATGGTACGGTGCCATGACTCCAAATTAGCTGGACATTTTGGGTTTGTGAAAACTTTACACCTGATTAAAAGACAATTTTGGTGGCCATCACTAAAAAAGGACATAGAAAGCTATGTAGCTAGCTGCCCCAATTGTGCAGCAGCAAAAAGATGCCAGGGGAAATCCCCAGGTCTATTGCAGAAGGTAGCTGAACCTGCAGCGCCTTGGAGTGAGATCGCTATGGATTTCATCATGGAATTGCCGAACAGTGAGGGAAATACTGTTATTTGGGTTGTCACAGACCTATTTTCAAAACAGGCACATTTTATACCCTACCAAAAGATCCCAACTGCTAAAAGTTTAGCCAAATTATTCCTAATACACATTTATCGACTTCATGGTGCTCCACAAAGGATCATCTCCGACAGAGGGGCTCAATTCACCTCCAACTTTTGGAAGGCGTTTTTGGGCTTACTTGGTACTGGCCAGGGGTTGAGCACATCTTTTCATCCTTGTACTAATGGTAATTCTGAAATTTTGAACTCGGTACTAGAACAATATTTAAGATGTTTCATTAATTTTCAACAGGATAACTGGACCGAACTTTTGCCTTTTGCTGAAGTTGTGTTTAATAATGCTGTACATTCAAGCACTGGTTTTACCCCTTTTAGAGTAGCAACAGGCCAGGATTTCAGCCCCATGCCTGAATTACCCACAGAAGAACCTACTATCCCCTCACTAAAGGAGTGGATGGATAATTTGCAAAACACGTGGCCAGTGGTTAGATTAGCCTTACAGGAAGCTAGAGAAGCTTTTAAGATTCAAGCTGACAAGAAAAGGATGGAACCCAAACCTTTTCATATTGGAGACAGAGTATACTTATCTACAAAATTCTTGAAATCATTACAACCATCAAAGAAACTAGGGCCAAAGTTCATTGGACCTTTCCCCATCACTAGAATCATCAATCCAGTAGCAGTTGAACTACTTCTTCCAAAGACACTCAGGCAGATCCACCCAGTATTCCATATCAGTTTACTCAAACGAGAAGTAATCTCATCCCTCAGACCACCTGCATCTACACCACCTATTCCCATCATGATTGAAGGTGAACAACACTTTGAAATCAAGGAAATCCTTGATTCTAGGATCCACAGAGGGAAAGTCCAATACTTAGTTGCTTGGAAACATTTACCATCAGCACACAATGAATGGGTCACTGAACACCATGTTAGGGCTCCAATCTTACTGAGAAAATTTCACTCCCAATACCCTAACAAACCTTGTTGATTTACTATCATGAAATCTTGAAATCTTGTGTATATTTGCGGGTTTTTTTACAGGTGGACCCTTTTGTTTTCTAAGGAGGGTTGTTATAGGAAAAACAGACTAGGCCAAGCTCTTCAATGCAGGAAAGAGTTTATTGCGCAAGGTTCAAACAGTCCAAAGACAGCGAAGGGTCTGAACACCGATGGCTTCTTCTGGCCATGTATTTATACAGTTTAAAGGCAAAATTATTACAGAGAGTGATGCATTTCACACGTAGAAGCTGCCCTTTCATCTATCTCTGGGAAAGGAAATAACAATCTTCTTGTCACATACTCAGGTTCTCTGCTCCGGCGCTCAAGACATAACAAAAGGAGATAAGAGGCTAGGAGACGCCTCAAGGGCAATAAGGAAGCAGCACCCCTTATCCAGGGATATGCATGACATTTGGGATGCAATAAACATTAAACAACAGAATGTATCTGTTTAGGGTCAGTTTGCCCTTTTACAATTCTGTACCTACGTCAAATACCTTTTGCCAGCTTAGCACCTTGGCATGGAAGAGGCACTTCTGTCTTGACCAAAGATTTGGATTTCTAATATTTGAGTTTTATCCCAATATCGAATCTTAGCCTGGCTCAGGGTAGCATGTCAGTTCCCTAAAAGTGATACCGCCATTCAAGTGGAGGAAGGGGGGACTTGGATTCGATTTACTAGCATGGCCTGTGTCATCAGATATTTTACAACCTATATCCTGGCACCAAGGAAGCCTGAGATTCCCTTTACCTGCAGGAATTTTTATGATAGCCATGTGGGTTGTCTCACTTTAAAGGGTAGTGGTGGGAATGCATGTTTGTTCAGGTTCTCAAAGGAAATAGTAAAGAAAACATCTTCACACTTGTGTATTGGCTGAAATCTGCATTCTGACTTAAAGGGAGGGGTCTCTACCACGTTAATCCTACTGCTTTGCCTAAGGGCATTCAGATTGTGCTTTAGCTGGATGGTTTTCACTTCTGCTTAATAAAAGAATCCTTTTGAACAACTACATTTCAAGAGTTCGTATTTTCTTAGGTTGGAAGGAGAGAGATATGTCTTATCGCATATCTTGTGTGCACTCTGTATATTTCGTCAATTCCACTTAATATCCCTTCCTTACTTTCTTCCATCGCTTCTGCTAGTATCTCTGCAATTTTCTCTGCTAAATTTTCTCCCTTTTCTTCTTCAATGTTTTGTAATCTTAAATAAAAATCAGCTTTACCCATTTCCAGGGTTATAATTGTTTTTTCCTGATTTTTATCAGTAATTGTAAGTCTATAGTCCATATCTTCAACTTTTTTCTCCGTTGCTTCTGCTTTTTCTTCCATTTACTGCAATCGTTGTTCATTTTTCCCTATCATTTCTTTAACTTCTTTCAATTCTCCTTGCATTTTTTACATTATCCCATCTACCTTGTCTAATCTTGTCTTAAGATCTTCATATATAGTCTGTAGCATATTTTTTTAATTCTATGTTTATTTTCTCTTGCTGTGATGTGGGTTCTGTTGCTTTTTGCCCAATAGTACCAGATGCTGCAGATATTGATGGTGATGATGAATATTGTCTTGTTTTGTTCATCTTGTTGTTGTTGTTTTTTTCAAATCTTACTGCCCAGTTTATAATCCAAATATTTGATTTCTTCAAATTCAAACTGCCCACTCAGACTCTTCAGGTTCTTGCTACCCTAATCCACATAGATTTAATCCATATAGGATAAAAAAAGGTAGAAAGATTGTGACTGAAAAAACAACACCAAAAACAATGAAAAATCAAAAACAGCCAAGATGCCCCAAAAAGGCAAAAAAGAAAGAAAGAAAGAAAGAAAAAGTAGAAGAAAAAGAAGGAAAAAGAAAAGCAAAAGAGAAAAAAGATTTTTCAAATTTTACTACCCAGTTTTATAATCCAAATACTCAATTTCTTTAAATTCAAAATGCCCAATCAGATTCTTCGGTTCTTGATACCGTACTCCACGTAGATTTAATCCATAAACTATACAAAAAGCCAAGAACAATCCAACAACCCAAAAGGGCAAAAATGAAGAGAAAAAAAATAAAAATTAAAAAGATAGGGGGGAAAAAGAGAGAGAAGATAGAACCAGATCAGCGCAAAAAAAGAAATAAAAATTAACTAGTCCAAAACTCATGTATTTGCCCAAAATATCCAACCAGGCGATAAAAAGATGAAAAAAAATGTACCCAGAATTTATAGCCCCAACACACGAAAGGAAACAACAAACAGCTTTCCTTCTTCTTCTTTTTTTCTTCTATATCTTCCCCCTTCTATTACAAAGTCACTAGACCACTTCTTATCAAAATCCTCTTACCAGTTTCCAAAACATCCCAAGGTCACTCCCTTCTCGTCTTTTCCTTTGTCCAATTTATCTCTTTAATTTCCTCTGCAATCCAAAATAGTCTTAAAGAAAAAATAAACCCCCAGCTTCAAAACTCCAAACTCTGATTTGCAAATTACAGTTCTTTAGCCAAAATTTATCAAATTTAGGTAATCCTCATTATATTGTTCAAACATACATAAACAAAAAATGCTTAACACCTCACCTTTGTCTCTATCTTCATCTGTATCTTTCTTTCTTTCTTTTTCAAAAAGCTTTTTATTTTTTTATTTTTTATAAAAATGTCAAATCAATGCATGAAAAGTGTGGTGTTTGGGTGCAATACATTCCAATACAAACAAAACTGATCAAATTAAGGATTATTATTACATTCAATCAACTTATGAAATTCCCATTCCAATACACATCTATATTAGGTTACTATCTATCATTATTCAGTTATTCCACCTATTTCTCAGTATTACTTCCATTTTATCAACTAAAAATGTAATGCATTAATATTCCCTTTATTTCTATCTCTTACTCTAGCTTTTAATCATATCACCCTATATTAAAAAGCTTTTTCTTTCTTTCCTGTCTAACTTCTAATCATATCATCTGCCTACATAAAAAAGAAAAAAAGAAAGAGAATAGAGAGGGAGAGATAGGGAAATATAATTCAAAATAGCAACCAGGAGCAGGAATCATCCTTCCATCATCTCTTGCCTGCTTTATACTTCAATTGCTATGCTTAAAAAAAGGAGGGGTGGAGGGAAAAGTAAGTCAAAGCAACCATAAAGAAAAAGAAATCCTCTACCCATCGTCTCTTGCCTGCTTTGATACTTCAATTGCTATGCTTTTTTTATTTTTGGCTTATCTCCCCCATTCCTCTCTTAAATCTCCATCTATTTCTATATCTTGGATGTCCCATCTAAGTATTCCTCCCACCTCTACCCTCTTCCACTGCCTATCTTCTAAATTTTTTACTGAAGCCCCTGCTTCCATTTCAGACATATCCTCCAAATCTCTTAGTATATTGTCCCCTTGGTTTAATTCCTCAATCATTATTATTTTCATTACAATCTTCTCCTTGTCTTCTTCCTTCTTTATTTCTTCTTTTGGCTCCTCCCTTTCTTAGTCCAAATCACTTCCTTGTAGTTTCCTCTTTTGTCAGCAGGTGGCACTCTCCATTTAAATTTCAGTTTGCTAGTTTACTACTCCCTTGTTGTTTGGATTATCCAGCATATATCGAGCAGAATCCAACGTTTAAAAATACCTTCCCAGTAGCATTTCTTTCCAGTTTAGGAGTCTGTTTATTTTATAGTCTGTTGTTTATTCTCCTACAATTCTCATTTCCGGTTAGGGTTTTTTTTTTTTTTCCAAAACGTCCCAAAATGCTTAGGCACCGCTTTAACACTCAATTCTGGGCAAATAGTTCTGATTATTTGGGGGGATCAATTTAAGTCAAAAGAAGACTCCTCTCCCCCAGTTCCACCACTGCTCACCTTCTTCTCTTCAGCACCAGTCTTAGCTGTTATCTTTCGGTTTGTCCTACCTTTGCAGCAGCTATCTTTAGGCTGCTTCTTCTTCTTGCCACGGTTGAGAGGAAAGAAAAAACCCCAGGTCAGACAGGAGAGCTGCGACTGTATCTTTCTTGTTCATTCTAAACATTTCTCTATTATATATGATCAAATTTAACTAGGTATCATTCATATTGATCCAATTTGCATTAACTTTGTTAATAATCTCTATCGCATTAATCAAATTTATATAATCATTATATTATTATATTATTCATTATATTATTTAAATGTACGTAAAAGAAAAATGCCTAACATCTGTAAACTTCTAATCTTTCTATTATTTTTATTCATTCTATAAACAATTTATGTTCTAATGTTTCCTCTACCTAATTTTATTTCTGCCTCCTTAGCTTACAATCAGGCTACTTTAATATTTAAAAGGCAATTTTTCTATCCATCATCTCTTCTCCTCTTTAGTGCTTCAATTCTTATCCATTTTTAAATTTGCCTCCCACACTCCTTATCTTTATCTCTATCTTCATCTATCTCTTTTTTGTTCAATCTAAACTCTTCTCCCAGTACAGTCTTGTGCTGCCAATTCTCCCAGTTGTCTGCCCATATCCCAATCTCCTTATCAAACATATCTTCCTGTCCAGGGGTGAAATCTAAAAATTTTTGCTACCGGTTCTGTGGGCATGGCTTAATTAGTGGGCGGGGCTTGGTGGTAAGGTGACTGGGAGGGTGTGGCTTGTTGGTCAGATGGGCGTGGCCAAGTCAATGTCATTTCTTGGCCCTTTTTTAACTTACAAAACACAACACAACACAACTGGCTCATCCACAATGTAAAAGCAGCTGTGCTAGACTCAAAATGGCCCCTGCAACAAGCAGGAACCTCACACAGCCACAAAAAGCCCAAAAAACCAACTTTCACACTTTACACACACAAAATTCCACATACAGCTTTGTGAGATTTTGTGTGTTTGTGTAGTTAGAGTGAAACACTACAGAAACACACTAAATCTCAGAAAGCTGCACAAATATTATTTTATTTTTATTTATTTTTATTTTTATATAAAAGCAGCTAAATTTAAAACTTCCTAAACTTTAAATGGCTAGGTCTAAAAAAAGAACAACTAAACAAAACCCCAATTAACTATTTTTTTTTAAAGCTCCCAAAGGTGGGAAAAACTTACCCAATAGAACAGGGGTCTCCAACCTTGGCAACTTTAAGACTTGTAGACTTCAACTCCCAGAATTCCTCAGCCAGCTTTGTTTTGCTGGCTGAGGAATTCTGGGAGTTGAAGTCCACAACTCCTTGCCTGCTTGATTGCAGGCAGGGAGATTCAGTTGCTTGCTGATGCAATCGATTGCAGGGATTACAGCAAGGCGTTGCGACCAGCAGCTAAGGTAAGCAAGCTGAGGTGGGGGAGGAGGAGGGATCGTCAGAGCCATTTAAAAGGAAAAAAGTTTTTTTCTTTTACATGGCTCTGGCGATCCAAGCTAAGTTGCCTGGTTAGCAGGCAACTCAGCTGGGATCGTCAGAGCTTGGCTGCTCAGAGCCATTTAAAAGAGAAAAAAGGCTCTGATGATCACGCGGCTCAGCTGGGCATGGGGGGGCAGGGGCAGGGATTTTTGCTACTGGTTCTCTGACCTGCCCGCTGCCATCGCTACCTACTTGCCCAAGCCGGTCCGAACTGGGAGCATTTCACCCCTGTTCCTGTCTCTCCAATTGTTGATTTATCTGTTTTATTTTCTTCGGTCTTTCTTCCTTTGTCAGCTGATTTGTCAATACTATTTTTTGCTCCAGTCCTTGATTTATTTGTTGATGTGGCCAATCCATCTGTTCTTTCCACTCCTTTTGCTTATCATTTATCTGGTCCTCCTCTTCATCAAGCTGTTGCTTTATTTGCTGATTTTTCTGATCCATATTTTTGCCCTGTTCATGTTCTATTTGTTGGCTTAAATGACCCATTTCTTCCAATCTTTTTGTTGCTTCCACCAGTTCATGGGCAGTTTGGTCTTTGTTCCTTGTTCTTTGCAAAATGTTTTCCACTTTCTGATCCATACCATTGACTAAATTCATAATATCTTGGAACAACAAGGTCATCTCATTAAGAAATCCTCTCATTTCCACAGCTGTTCCTTCAACTCCAGTCATAATAGTGATAAAAGTGGAATAAACAATCACACCTCAATCGAATTCAGAGAGTCCAAAACCCTAGAAGTATTTTCCAGCAGATATTTGTTTCACTCAATCTCCATTTCTTTCAAAACAAGGTCAATTGTTAAATGGGTCAATTCCAGCATTTACTGAATACTCTGATAGCCCAAAATATTTTCCAAGTTCTTTAAGTCTACTCTGTGGTTTTAGTCTTTTATTCTAGCTTCCCAGTGTCTCTTTTATAAAATGTCTTTCTTTCCCCCCCCCAATTTTTTTTTATTTTTCAAAACACAAAACATAAAATACATCTTTTTAGAGCAGGTGCTTGTTCCGTCATATAATAAGTACAATTATTAAAATTCCCACAATCAATTTTGTTCCTGTTTTTATCCAATTACATCTTTTTTAAAAAAAAAGAAAAAAGAAAGAAAAAAATCTTATTCTAAACATTTATCATTCAATTATTTCACCCAACATTCTAGACCCGTGATGGTGAACCTATGGCACGCGTGCCACAGGTGGCACGCGGAGCCATATTAGTGGGCACGCCAGCTCAGCTCTGGGGCGCATGCGCGCACCGGCTAGCTGATTTTCGGGCCTTCTGGGCCCACCAGAAGTAGGGAAACAGGCTATTTCCTGCCTCTGGAGGGCCTGGGGGGTGGGGAAGGCCC